TGAAGTCGGACGCTTAACCGACTGCGCCACCCAGGCGCCCGGTTATTAACTTTTCTTATGCACTTTGGCATACTTCTGAATTTTTAGCTTCACTGATCTCATAATCTGTTTATAAATAAACATCTCATAAGGATATCCATACTGATTTTTTTAAGTTTTTGTGAATATTTTTATTTGTTCATTATTCTGTAAGATTTTTGCAGTAACATTGCTAGTTTGAAAAACTATGTCAATATATTTAAAAAACTATCTATATCAGGATCAAATTAAATTCATAAATTAGGTTAAGGAGAATTGACCTTTTTATAACATTGACTTCTTCTACCCAAGAACATGACATGAATTTATATTCATTTATTTCTACTTTCATATATTTCATGAATGTTTAATTTTTCCCCCATATAGGCTTTACACATTTTTGCTAGTTTCATTACCGGCTAGTTTATTTCATTTATTTTTTAAAGCTATTTATTTATTTGTTTATTTTAGAGAGAGAGTGGGGGATAGAGGCAGGTGGAGAGAGAGGGAGAGAGGAAGAGAGAGAGAGAGAGAGAGAGAGAATCCCAAGCGAGCTCCACGCTCAGTGCAGCACCAGACAGGAGGCTTGATCCCATGACCCTGGGATTACAACCTGAGATGAAATGAAGAGTCGGATGCTTAACCAATTGAGCCACCCATGTGCCCCTATTTCATCTTATGTTACACTTTTGTAATTGCAGGCCTTCTTAATAACTCATAAATGTGTCTTTATTGCACCTAGGCTATTGTATAAACATATCCTGTGTACATGGGGGCCTGGTTGGCTCAGTCGGTTAAGCGTCCATCTTGGGCTCAGGTCATGATCTCACAGTTTGTAGGTTCAAGCCCCGCATTGGGCTCTGTGTTGAAAACTTGGAGCCTGGAGCCTGCTTCGGATTCTGTGTCTCCCTCTCAATCTACCTCTCTCTCGCTCTCTCTCTCAAAAATAAATAAACATTAAAAAATGTTTTTAATAAAAAAATAAAAAATACTAGCCTATGTACAAAAAGGCTATTGTTTTTGTATGTCAGTATTATGTCCTATTAGCTTACTGAATTATTTTTAATACTGGACTTTCTATCAGTTCCTTTGTGTTTTGGGACGTATACTTGAATCATATACAAACATAGTTCTGCATCTTTGTTTGTAATTCTTATGCCATTTTAAATGGCCCTGGCTAACCCCCCAATACAATGACAAATTAATAGAACAGGTGACCATGTACGTTTTTTAGTGTGGTTTTCAGCCTTAGTGGAATATCTCTAGTGTCCGTCTATGAGCAAGACAGAGTTTGTCTAGTTGGGAAAGGTCCAATTGTGTTCTATCTGTCTCTAAAATAAATAAACATTTAAAAAATTTTTAAACAAAAAGATTATAATTTCAAAATTAATCTGCCATTCAATAACGTGAGCAAGAGTCACAGAGACATTTTCAGGAGCAATAATGTGGTTTCTCTAAAGGCATGTGTGTGTGATAATGAGTGTGATGGAACTAATTAAAATACCTGGTTCACAGCACGAATAGCATGACTGAATGGGAATTGCTGAAATGTGTTCTTCTGTAACTTGAGTGTGATGTGCTTAATGGAGACGGTAAATGTGTCTCTACTGCAAATCTCTGTAGTCTCTTGATCTGTGAGATAATCTTCTTCATGAAATTAGGAAAGGTCCTTTATGAAAAAGTTAACATTGTAACCGATGGTTTCAAAGAGCAAAAAATTAAGGAATTTATTTTTGTATTTTAATTTAAATTAATAAATTAGTTTAAAAATAAAATCTCATCAGGAAAAAATTTTTAACTTATATTTCCTCTGGTTTAAAATCATTTCAGTAGTATTCCCAGCTCATGATTCACCTTTCTTGCTTTTCAATTTATTAAATGCCCAAGATTCCAAGCCCTCAAATTCCATTTGGCAGGTTTATGCTGTATTTAAATAGCTTTTTGAAATCAAATATCAATTCAAGTTTCAGGGTTTTTTTTATAAAATAACATACAGTGATGTGATCTTTAAAGAGGATTAATATTTTCTGCCCTAATATGCTTTATCACTATGTGATGTTTCATGTCCCATATGTTAGCACACAGTGCAGTTCTGCCCCATAATTTCTGTTACAGATGCCATTGTCCTTTTGGTCCAGGCAAAAAATGAAATGAGTTCAGCTGCCATCC